CCTCTCTTCGCCGCGCTGGGGGTGACTGACGAACAAACTTGATAGAGACCGTAGTAATGACGTAACTACTATCACTAATTTCCTCTTCTCTCCTCGGTGGCACTGCTTAAAAGGTATGTCTTCTTTAGTTCTGTCCTTCTCGTCCTGTTGACGACCCACTGTTTGTACTTGAGACACTGGCTACCTGGGACTTGAGTTGCACCCTCTTTGTGACGATTATTATTATTTGTAGTTGTACTACACAACAAGACAAGACTTGTTACTACGTCAATCCATATCTGAGTTTTGAGTCTGTTTCACAAAGAGAATTAATATATCTCTGATTTTTCACACGGTGGGACTGCACCTTATCTATTACTTCTTTAGAATCGTACCAACGTCACATGTCAGTTGATTTGCTAAACAAGTGGTTTTTAGGATTCTTTCGAGAAAATTCAGTAAAGTTTCGAAAATAACATACCGTATCAGGGGTAATTTGCACTATTTTTTGTGAGAGACCCAGATTGTACTGATTCTTATTCCCACAAAATTAACAAATTTTCATTTTCAAAAATCTCAAACGGAAAAACAAATTTCCAGGGTACAGTACCGGTAAGGAGATGACTAGTATTAAGGTAACAACTCTACTCGACCACATGGTTTTATCTTAAACACGCTTAAAAGGTTTGAGTGTAAAACAAAGAGGTATGTCGTTAGAGACGATTTCATACACATAAGTGGCCATAAGTGAGCTACAAGGATTTGCCGAAACAACCTCGAGGACGGGGGGGTAGGAACACTCGGGTCACTAACCAGCCCTGCAACGCTCCGAGCGACGAGTTACTAGACGAATGACACACCACAAGCCCAGCCGCGCTATGTCGCCCTGTCGCGCTTTGAGTAGGACTCGTGTGTGGTTTGTGAGTGTCGGTTCATTTTTTGTTAATTCACACCGACTCATTCAGCTCGATTCTTTTTCCAACATTATTGCGACACTCTTACCCAGATGCCTCTCTAGTAAAAGGCGGTAGGGGTTGAGCAGATAATGGTTGGTCCCTCGAGGATTCGTTCAGTTACCTGAGGGACAATCAACTTTTACATGCGATTTCCAGGGGGATGACGCATAACTATCACTGCGGTTCCCTGGGACCACACACTCCTCGAGGCGCCTATGTTTACCTTTTTCCTCTTTAGAGGTTGCTCCGCACGACCCCGTCGTATCTGTCAGAAAAGACACAATCTCAAAATGAGCGATTGTCCCACATGAGAACTCCCAAACGCACTGAGACGGTCTGGGCAAATGTACGTCATTTTTCGGGATGTATTGTGTGATTCCCGTGCCCACTTATTGGCCTTTCGTCCTGTTACCTGGAAATTTAACTAGGAAAAGATTTTCCCAATGGTCATGTCCTTTACTTGAGAACTCGGGTTTCGTCACCAGGATGGTAAAAATATAGTTACTTTTTGAGACCCTGTTTAATTCTCTGGTGACGCGGGCGGTAATAATCAAAGAGAGACAAAATTGAAAATGAATATCCATAAACAAACTCTCTTTACATGACAGAAAATAAATAAGATATTTGATTAACTGTTGTAAAGAGCACACACGCTTAAGGTCGTCTGTGACTTACCTTACCGACGGTTGTACATTATCTAACTCTACATTCTTGTAAACTCACCAAAAGGTCTCGATATACATATATAAATTGAACTACTAAATTTTTTTTTTAACAGTAAAGAAGTCAATCGACTCTAAGAAAAGGCAAAAATTAGACCACGCGACTGTGTAATTATCAAAGTATTTTTTCGGTAACCCCCCGGGGGGACACCCCGCAATTGTCCGGATTCAATTCAAACCGATATCAATTGGGCTAAGATATAGTTTGAACTCATTTATGGTGTAAAAAATGGAAACTGCGCAGAAGTACACAGGAGATCAAATAACCAAAGCTGTGACAAACAACGTACGCGGTCGGACGACAAGTCAAAGTGGTTCTTGACATATATAAATAATTTAGACTGTGTAAACCCTTACATGTTTGTTCATAAGAACATCTTTGAAAAAGTAACCGGAGTAAGCACTTTTTGCACGTTATGTAGGTATAAACTCGGGTTCCCTGTGAACTCCTTTCCGTTGTTACAAAAGCTACAGACCTCCAAGTGGTTTTATATTCGGTTAACTACAACCAACCTATGAACCCTAGTCTGACTTTTTCTTACCTACGAAAGTTCTCTCCCCGACTGACAAACCTGGTTTACTTACTCTATTTACAGTGTATATTGTTACGATTTGAAATTCCAGTTTCCTACACACTACTACTCCTGTCCTGCCTCTCGTTACCTACTAAAAACGTGTCTTGGTTCTACTGGCCTCGAGTGGACGACAGCCGGATGGAGGAGCAGCGACGACTAGAAGTCCAGTAGGAGGTCGTAAGACGTGCCCCTGTTCCCCTGTGAACAATCAAGACGCCGGGACCTTGTAGGGGGCGCGGGGGGTCAGACGAACATAATTCAGTCTTCACGTCTCAGAAACTAGACGTTAACGGAAAACTTCTTGGGAAAGACCGTTTGGTAAATTAATGTGTCGTCTTCTTCACGACCAAGTACAAACCGTTTAAAACAGACAGCGTTTTTTTTTGGTTGGTCTACAAGAGGGTGTCGAGACACTCTTCTCGGTCTACAAAAAAGTGGACCTTTGAAAGACAGACTATTGGCGCTGTATGGCGGTCTTTAAGGAAACCTGCGACTCTAGTCAGGGAGGCGGTCCAATGCCTATAAAGCAACCCCCGAAGATTGAGGTTCTTTTTTTTCTGTGCGAATAACCAGGACAAAAGAAATACTCGGAACAAACAAAATAAGAGGGGGTGCCAATGTCTACCTTTAAGGTTGTTATACGCCCAGCACTATTTCTATATGCTCTGTGTCAGCTATTGTACTGGGGGAGCCTCGTAGTGGGACGAGGAGTGGCGTGTTTAATAGGGTCATAAATACACGACACGTTGGCGTTTTCGAGGGAACAAAATAACGAAGATATATTTGGAAGTGTGTTTGAATGCCAATAAAAATTCGATCGTGACGATAACAATTACTGTCTCTTAGGGGGATTTCCCTAAAATGACGGGCGCTTGGTGAGAGACAGTCCACGGACTTTGTTTCTTGTGAGGGGTCACAACAACACAAAAGTCAACCTCCGGCATGCTCCCCACAGCTACTTATTGGCTTCGTGTTACTCTTTTTTTTTCGAAACGTCTATTCGCCCGTACCCGCATACTATCTATACAAACTTACTTACTTATTACCTAAGTACAAAATAAAGTAACTTTCGTTGCCCTGTCCTACCTCTCCCCCTGCTATCCCTCACTACTACCTCTACTCTGCCGTCTCTCTTCTCCTCTCCTTCGTACCTCCCCTTTCCTTAGTCGTTAATG